TTGTGCACCGGGCCTCTAGTCCTATATAATAAAAGCGTAATATGCAAATTGACCCTAACAGCAGAACGACTGGGAATGACTGGTCACTATGAACACACTGACCACCAGGGGGCAGATGCTCAATGCAGGAGCTGCCCCCTGGTGGTCAGTGCACTCCCACAGGGGGTGCTCTGCTCAGCCACAAGCCAGGCTGAGGGCTGCCAGCACAGCAGTGGTGGCGGGAGCCTCTCCTGCCTCCTCAGCAGCGCTAAGGATGTCCAACTGCAGCTTAGGCCTGCTCCCCGCTGGCAAGTGGACATCCCCCGAGGGCTCCCGGGCTACCAGAGGGATGTCTGACTGCCAGCTTAGGCCCGATCCCCCGGGGAGCAGGCCTAAACCACCAGGTGGGCATCCCCCAAGGGGTCTCAGACTGCGAGAGGGCACAGGCCGGGCTAAGGGACCCCCCCCCTCCCCCCGAGTGCACAAATTTTTGTGCACCGGGCCTCTAGTTATTTAATAAAAAGAACTAAAGAATTTATATGGAATTTTTCATTTATGTAAAAGAATCAATAAAAAGAGAAAACATTATATATATGTATATGTGTACATATATTATAGGGTGTCCCAAAAAATGTATACACACTTTAACAGCTGATAGCTATTAAAATGAAATGTATTTTAATCAACACTGCTTTTATAATTATTCAAAGTGTGTGTATACATTTTTTGGGACACCCTGTATATACTCGTATGTGTGTGTGTACACACATACACACAAATAAAACTCAATAATATTTACCTCTGAGTAGGGAAGCAGAAGGGTGGGAAGGGGTCAGTGAGAGAGACACAGAATGGAATGGGAATGAAATGAATATTTGTGTGTGTGTGTGTGTGTGTTGGGTGGGAAGGGCCGTGACTGCAAATTTTTATTCTTTTTAATCTTTAATTTAAAAATTCTGTCAACTACAGTTTAAGTTTAATATATTACATTAGTTTCGAGTGTACAGCACAGTGGTTAGACAATCATATACTCTATAAGTGCTCCCGCTGATATTTCCAGTACCAAACTGGCACCATACATAGTTATTGCAGTGTGACTATATTTCCTAGGCTGTACTTTATTTACATCCCCGTGACTATTTTGCAGTCTGGTTTAAATTTTAAATTTCACATTTTCTAATGTATGCATTTATGTATTACTTGAACAAGTAAACAAATACTAAACTTCTGTCATGTTTCTAGTGCTTGGCTAACTGATCAGAGATTTATTTAACTAGTGGATGCATAACAAGGTTCTCTATCAGGTAATGGAAGGAAAGGGCTACCTTCACAATCTCAAATCAAAACAAAACAAAAACTCCATGGGAAATAAAATTTAAAATCAGCTTTGAAATCCATGCAGCTTACTTGTGGGTTGACATCCAAAATGCAAGTTCGTCCAGTTTGGACAACTTCAAGAATAGAGTCAATCTTGGTTCCATAGAGATTTCCTTCATATTCCCCATGTTCCAAATACTTTCCAGCTTTAATATCTGCTTCCATCTCAGACCGTGACACGAACTTATATCCCTGGCCATCTTTTTCATCTTCCCTTGGTTTCCTTGAGGTAACTAAATAAAATAATGTTGAGAATTTACACAAAGAGAATGCAGGATTTTAGAAAACAGACTAAAATGAACAGGGTAGCTTAAGATGCTTCTGTTTAGTGCCTACGGCCAAAACTGCCAGCTTCTTATTTTTGCAGATAAAGTTTTATTGGACCACAGCTACGCTCATTCTTCTTACCTATGCTTCACTTGTTTTATACTGGTGGAGTAGTTGCGGGAGAGACTAGATGACCTGCAAAACCTAAAATATTTACCACGTGGCCCTTGAGCAAAATAATTTGCTGAGCTCTCATTTATAGGAATGCTTTAAAAGGTAGTCCCCAATATATAATTTGTATCCAAAAAATGTGCTAGATAAGGTCAGTTTGAAACTCAAAATATGGTTACCTGGAAGCAGAGTCCGGCATCTAAATTCTTAATTGTGGTGAATCCTAGGAAGTGTGAGATATGTTGCAAATGAGTATCTTTTCCAGCTGACCCGCACTTACTCCCCTTTCCTAAGGAATATCAATTATGTCCTCTCTTTTCACTTTAACATTTCCTAATTGAGTGCCAAGCAACTGAGCAAAGTTCTCCTATTCTTAGTTGGTATTATCAATTTTCTGAAGTGTACACTTTACCCACAAATTATCCTTTATTTTGTCTCAATGCCTTTATTTCAGCTTCCTGCTTATTTATACTCCTAATTATTATATTTTGTGCTTTAGTGGTGGAACTAGCCACCTCAAAGTTATTAAGGTCTATTAACTTTCTCTATTCTGATCTGATATGTGTATTCTTGTTCAGAGAATGAGAACAAAAAAACCAAATGGAAATTTAGAGGATCCTTTTGTCTGACATTTTAGAGCTCTACTAGTAAATACTATCAGAGACATACAACTCCCCTGCAACTTGGGCCATACTAGGAATGGACTATTATCACCTTTCAAACTGTTGCAAAGATGCAGAGATAGGTACTCTCTGCCAACCTGTTAATACTAGCTTGGAAGGAGGGAAAGAAGAGAGGAGAGGGAGAGGGGGCACAAAAGAGAGCTACTTTCAAATTTAGCCTTGATCTGAGCTTGGCTGGATCAGATATAAAAAAGTTTTCAACTTCTAATCAAATACTTATGCGTGCATAATATCTGAAGAAACCATTAAACACATACACTTAAAATTAGAAAGTAATCCAGATCAAAAGGTGATGGTATTTAGACTATCTATAACAGTGGTTCTCAACCTTGGCTGCACATTAAAATCACCTGGGAATCTTTTTAAAATCCTGATTTCTGGGCCCCATCCTCCGGAAATTCTGTTTCTTTGTTACTGATGTTGTGGCCCCACCCCATAACAAAGAAACAGAATTTCCGGAGGATGAGGCCCAGAAATCAGGATTTTAAAAAGATTCCCAGGTGATTCTAATGTGCAGCCAATGTTGAAAACCACTGATCTATAATAAGCATAACACATCAAGAAAACTTTTATAAGAACAAAATGAACTTCAAACTCAATAACCAAACAAGTGTTGCCGAGGATGTGAAGAAAAGAACAAACCCTTGTGCGTGGTTGGTGGGAACGTACATTGGTGCAGCCAATGAGGAAAGCCATACGGAGTTACCTCAAAGAATTAAAAATGGAACTGCCTTATGACCCAGCAATTCCATTTCCGGGAATATATTCGAAGAAACCCAAAATACTGATTCGAAACAATATATGCACCCCTTTGTTCACTTCAGCATCATTACAATAGTCAAGATTTTTGGAATCAGCCCAAGTGTCATCAGTACACGAGTGGATAAAAAAGCTGTTGTACATTTACACAATGGAATGATGTATGGTGGACCTGGAGAGCATTACGCTAAGTGAAATAAGCCAGTCAGAGAAAAACAAATACCATATGATCTCACTTACATGTGGAATCTAACGAACAAAATAAACTAATATACAAAATAGAAAAGGACTTATAGATACAGAGAACAGACTGACAGCTATTAGAGAAGAGGGGTATTAAGGAGCTGAGTGAAAAAGGTGAAGAAATTAAGCAAACAACAACAACAACAACAAACCCTCATAGACACAGACAACAACAGTACGGTGATTGCCAGAGAGAAAAGAGAGTGGGGGGAGGTAGAAGAGGGTAGAGGGGGATAAATGGTGATGGAAGGAGACTTGACTTGGGGTCGTGGACACACCATACAATATGCAGATGACGTGTTATAGAATTGTACACCTGAAAGCTATGTAATTTTATTAACCAATGTCACCCCAATAAATTCAATATTTTTTTTAAAATGGGGACCTTCACACATTGCTGTGAGTGTAAATAATATGGCCACTGTGGAGAACAATGTGGCAGTTTCTCAAAAAGCAGTCACAGAGTCACTATTGGACCTACCAATTCCGTTTCTGAGAAAGAGAAAACACACATGTCCACATAAATACCTGTACACAAATGTTAACAGCAGCATTATTCATTACAGCTAAGAAACAGAGCAATCCAAATGTCCATCAAGTGATGAAGAGATAAACAAAACGTGGTGGAGCCAGAAGATGGAATAGCATTCAGCAATAAAAAGAAGCTAAGTGTTGACAGCAGCTGAAACACGGATGAACCTTGAGCCCTTTGGTAAATAAAGAAGCTATCATAAAATATCACATTCTGCAGAATTACACTTCTGTGAAATGTTCAGATAGGCAAATTTTATTGTGGCAGAAAGCCCACTAATCATCAGCATGAGTTAAAGAATATGCACACAAAGGCACATCATTATTAAATTCAAAATACTGAAAAACAACAAAATATAACAAAAAACCCTGAATATCTGTAAAACAGGTCATGCACAAAATAAGAATTAAAAAAAAAAAAAATATATATATATCCTATCTAATAATAGACAAACAGGGTAATTGACCGTACCTTCGCTATACCTCCCATTGGCTAATCAGCGCGATATGCAAATTAACCGCCAACAAAAGAGCATACATAAGAGCGAAGCCAAAGGGCCCTGAAGCCTGCCTAGCAGCGAGGCCTCACGCTCCCGGGATCAGCGGAGCCGTGAGGCATGATGGCACTGGGATCAGTGTGACAGGGGGCAGCGCCCAAACCCCCTGATCACCCTGTGGCTCTGTGTGTGATAGGGGGCGGGGCTACAACCTCCCTATCCTCCCTGCTTTGTTCCTGACAGGGGAAGGGGCCCCAACCCCCTGATCAGCCCTGCTCTGTGCCTGATAGGGGGAAGCTCCCCAATCCCCTGATTGCCCTGAGGCTCTGTGTGTGACAGGGTGCGGCGCCCCAACCCCCTGATCAGCCCT